TAGTAATTGGACCCGATCGAAAAAATGCTACCCGGGTTACCCGACGGATAAACCCGCGGGTTACCCGGGTGATCGACGGATATACCCGGGTATAAAAATTTACCCGATGTACCCGGGTGATCGACGGGTTTATCCGGGTATAAAATTTTACCCGATATACCCGGGTAAGATAATATTCGAATTTCTTTTGCATACAAAGAACAAGAGAACTATATCGATATTATTCTACGTATTGTCCATTTATTATTAAATGAGAACTATATCAATATTAAGCTATTAAAGTTTTGAGGTATTTGAATAGATAGAGTAACTTTACTAATCCATTTTATTTTTTCATTTATTATTAAATGAGCACTTTACCACGCTATTTCTATTTTACTTAAATATAATCAAACCTATTTTTAAACCCAAGTGTTTTTACAATACAAACTATTTCGTTTGACAAATAACAGTTCGTTAACTACCTCGGGTGACAAACGGGTTCTTTTAGGGGTAATTTGATTGCCTGCATCCGAAAAGAGTCGTTCGCTTGGAACGGATGTGGCAGGAATAGATAAGTATTTACGTGCTATTCTGCTTAAGATGGGGAAAGTATTTTTGTTATCATACCACCACTTATAAACATCTTTCGTTTCAGATAGAATTGGCGTAATAGCTTCATTCAAGTAATTATCTATTTCAATATTATGGTTTATCAGATTTCGAGTATTGTTAAATATTTTTTTCATAAAGTCAGGTGTCGATGAAGACACTTCAGCTCCAATATTTTCAACTGATTCATTAGTTATAACTGTACTATGCCAAGTCGTAAATTCATCACGCAGCTTATCAATTGTAGTATTACGCGTTTCACTTGACCATAAATTCATCGATTTTAGACGTGGATCTAATAAGGTGGCGATTAATCCAATATATTCTGGATCATGCCAATAATGATTGAGAGAATCATAAATAGCTTTTCGGATTTCTAAAATTATTTCTGCATTCGATTGTAGCTTTTCGCGATTAGCTGCATTCTGGAATTGACGCTTGTGCATAGTTGGTTGGTGAGTATCAGTTTCATCGCTTTCATCTTCGGATGATATTTCATCTAAAGTATTAATAAATTTATATTGAAAATTAAAAGAAAATAAAATAAGGTAAAGAATAAAATGGAAATAAAAATAAAAAGAAAATTAAAATTAAATAAAAAAAATAATAAATAATAATTTTTATTACCTTCAGTATTAGATTCACTTTCATCAACTTCAAGCCTATTTGATGTAGACACACCGTCGGTAAATTGCAATTTTAATGCTTCAATCGCTGGATTGACGACTGAAAGTGTAGCATACTTGACCCCACTAAGATAAGTTGTCAACTCATCAAACGGCTTAAACACATTTACTAATTCTTGTAACAACATCCACTCATTATCTTCGAACATAAGTTGGCTCAATTTATCAGAGTCTTCTTTAACACCTACCCCATCTCCTAAATGTAGGGTTGCCGAAAGCCATTCAATGGCCGGACGCAATAATAAAAGTCTTTGCCAAGATTTATACGTTGAGTTCCATCTGGTCTTTACATCATCAAGGGTACGCAAAATTTTAAAGTTTGCTTCAGGTACTTCAATTTTGTCATCATCATGATGTTCCTCCTTAGATGATGAATTTTCATCTAAATCATATAATTGAATGGTAGGCGAAGTAGTCTTACTGCGTTGGGCTAATTCAATCTGTGCTTGTTCAAGGTATTGACTTCGTTTTGGTAATTTAAAAAATTTGATAAGTTTAGAGACTCTTTTGGTGTATGGTTTTATGATTTTCAATGCCTGGATTACTGTAAGCTGGAGTGTGTGTGCAGAACAAGCAACACGTTCTACACCATCCCAGATTCTAATGGCTTTTTTCATGTTGGCTCCGTTGTCTGTAACTGCGCTAACTATTTTACCGGCCAATCCAAATTCTTTAATCTTTTGGTCCACGTATTCTTTGATCCTTTCACTAGTGTGTGGATAATCCATTTTTTCGATAGACAATATAACATCGCGAATCTCAAAATCTGGAGTTAGCCAATGAATTGTTACTCCAATGTATCCTTCATTACTTCTGGATGTCCATAAATCGGTGGTAATTGAAGCAGTTTCACAGGTAGTGTAAAGTAATTTTTTTAGCTCTAGTACAGCTTTTTGGTAAGCAATGGTAAGTTCTTTTTTAATATTTTTATTATTTGGTAGTTTGAATGCTGGGTCAAATCTGGTTATCATTTTTTTATACCCTTCTTTATGAACAGTATTAAAAGGTAGAGAGTCTGTAATCAGCCATTCTGTTGTAATTCTCTTTAGTTCTGTTTGGATTGCTTCTTTATGAGGAGCTACTTTTCTAAACATATTATCTATATGCAATTGATGTTTTTTATTTGGGTTGGGTTGAAGATCATTTGGAGCCAATATTCCATGTTTTGTTCTAAGATGAAACTTCATATTACCAGTTCCGCTATCGTACTTATAACTTGTTCCGCATTCTTCTTCAATACCTTTTTTGAATACGAATATCTTACAAACAGCACGTCCTTTCTCAACTAGAAAATATTTCCAAACATAACTTAATCTACTGTCATCCTGATTAGTGATGTTTACTCGAATTTTTTTAATATCTTGTCTTTCAACAGGCTCTTCAACTGTTTTTCTTCTGGTTGCAACACTAGAAAGTTCGCTGTCATTATCCTGAGGCTCAATATCGGAATCATTATGTGGGTCATTATATGGGTCAGGATAAGGTTCAGAATAAGGGTCAAGATAAGGGTCAGAATAAGAGTCAGAATAAGGATTAACATCTGCGATATACTCATTATTGGAATCCATCGCTATTAGCACAAAGTGTTATAATTTTTTTTTTTTAGTTATTTGGTATTTGAACGTATATTTAAGTCTTACGAATATTTTTTTATGATAGGACTCAAAGAAGGCTTTTT